CCCATCTCTCTTAGCTTTTCCCTTCTAACAGTTGCTGTCCTTAACAGTTGTCACTTCACCGAATATAACAAAAGATGTCACTGTTGCTCGTCTTTGTATATACTGGGTTTGTTTTGTCATCTTGATTACAAACTGAACTTTTCTTAAGGAGAACTTTTCTTAAGGACATAAGGGGGAAGTGAAACTAGATCTTTCACTCCTCGCCATCATTTCTGTAACACAGGCAATCACTTAGACTTTAGTCTAACTCTTACTTGCCCTTTAATGTTACAAATTTGCCCTCAGTTTGAAAGGATCCAGCCAACCCCTGCTTGCAAAAATTTTATCAAGGGTCACCTTCTGCTGCATATGTAGCTTTTAAATTATTTGAAACACCTCTAGCCCTTTCTTAAATTTTAAAACATTTTCCCCCAGACCTTTCTTACACCAAAGTAAACACTAAGAGCCATGTGCATCTGTGCCAACTGTACAAATTGGGACACAATTGACAATTATTTACTAAAATGACACAATTGGGCATGGATCTTGTTTGTACCCCAGGACTGCCTGCATTTACACATTCCAGGAAAGATTAGTAGGCAGAGTGTAGTTTGACATTGTGGAAAGTACCAAGGATTAGGACACAGAAGACTTGTGTTTCAGACCTAATTCTGCCCTCAGCTAGTTATGTGAGTGAACTTTGCCAGATTCTGTGAACTCAGCACTGGATTAGTGATGTCTTTTGTAAAATCGAAGAGGTTAGAATAAAATGATGTGTTAACAAACAGCTAGCTACTCCTCCTGTGCGATTTCCAGCTCTTCCCAAACCCACTGGAGGGTCAGCTGAGTCAATTCCAAGTTGATGGCAACAATGAGTGATACTTGAAGGAAATAACACTTTTCTATCAGGTTACAGTAAGTAAATTACTAGAGCATGAGTCTTCCTGTGAGCTGGGGATTAGGGCATCCTAGAGTGAGGGACACAAGTATTAAGAGGGGAAGACCTAGGAATTTGAAGTGTACCCTATGTTGAGATCTCCACAGTCCCTTCTACCTCTTATATTTATTTATATTTTATATATTTATATTTATATTGGTAGATAGGAAGAACTTAGTTACGAAAGACTGTTCATGAATTCCTTTTGACAGATGACACCAAACGGAACCTCTAGTGCCATCTGTTGGTGGAGTTGCACTTTACTTCACTTTCTTAATTGCTATGACGTTTTGCCAGACAGGTTTCATCCAAGATTCATCTTGGAGAGGATTAAACAAAGCTACTCCTTGGAGGCAAGGATTCTGGGGCTTCGTCTGACATACTTTGGACATGTTGCAAGGAGAGACAGGTCTTTGGAGAGGGACATCATGCT